GCTTATGTGGGGGGGGTCCACTCCTTAATCGACCAGTGCTGACAGGACCGCATTCGTTTCGATGCTGTCAAAAGCTTTTTCATAGACGACAAAGGTAAGTACAAGAGGCATTCGGAATTCTCGGCACACTTCGATGACCTTTGCGACCGCTTGGATGTGGTCCGAGCAGCTGAATCCCTTCCGAATTCCGGCCTGCTTTACAGGTTTAACTTCATCCAGCGTTCGCGATATGCCGGTCAGAATGATCTTCGTGAATAGCTTGTAAAGCGCACTTAACAAGCTTGTTGGGCGGTAATTGCGAAGATCATCCCGGTCTCCCTTCTTGTGAAGAGTGACCATCCGTGAGTTCCTCTTCCTCCTCTTTGGATCTTCTCCTTCTTGGGGTAGGATGTCATATGGGCTGCGAGAACGAGTGACGGATAAGTTCTCTTTGACAGAGTATATTGTTCAATGAGAACTTATCCGTCACTTTCAATTCAATTTTCTAAAAAATTTCAATTTTCTTCTCTCGAAGACTGATGGTGGAGGTTCCTCACTTGAGTTTATCAAACAAGGGAAGGATACTTGGTCGCAGTGGCCATTTAAGATGAAATATATACCGCAGTAGGTGTTCTTAAACGCTGATGTCGAGACGGCCGCTCACTCCGCAGGGCATGACGATGAAAAGGAGTTGTGGGATGAACGCCGCCGGGACTTCCGAGAAGAGCACAAGGGTATTGCGCTTGTGAGCCTCGCCTTGCCACGTCCCTGTGCTATCCCCGAAACACTGGGAAACAAATAGCGATCAAGGTCAACAGTGATTAATGTAAGCAATCTTGTTATCATGGGTGTTATATATGTGAGATGTACTATGCGTATGATGAAGTAAAGAAGTTATGATGAAAGATAGATATAAACTCCTCTTGCTACATAACAAAACATGGAAGAAATAAGTGGCTTCATGCCTATTACAAAACGGAACGAGAAGCTCTACCACAGCTTTAAGGGAATGTACCTAACCTCACTAGGGGTCGCCAATGCGCGTCGTTCCTCCTGCGCATGCGTAGTGGCGCTAGCTGGGGGGCGTTCGACACGTCCGGCCACCACTCGCAGCAGAGCAGGACTTCCCACTCCACTTATCCACACGACGATCGGTGTTTCATCTTCCACAGACTGCGCGCCAGGGGCTGTCCGGGGAATGGACAGCCGCGCAGAGGGGAAACGGGGTTATTACCATCATCGAAAATATTAACCTCACCGTGGTTGCATGAAACAACTCTTATCAGCTCGCCGGTTTTTGATGGATGTTGCGCGTGTTCGCGCAGTTGCGTAGAGAAGTTAATACGAATAACTGAAGTCGGAGCTGCGGACGAATTGCATGAGATTAACGACGGAGTATCGAAGATGGTACAGGGAACCATGCAGAGCTCCAGCCGAAACGTGCGCGGTGTGTCGAGACTGTCTGAAGTTGCCTCCTTTTTAAGGCCAACTTTTTCTGTGTCGTTTCTGTTTTCGTTGCGCGGTAGGACCCAGTGCGGTGGGACCTACTGACCGTCCAATAAGCGTTGGGATTTTTTTGCGAGTGTGATGTAGTGCGACGGCCACAATAGAAGACGGTGCACAAAGAGGTCGTGCGAAAGTGACAGCTATATCAAATCCGTTTCTAGATCTGCGGAATTATTCTGGGAACGAAGTTACGAATACTTTTCCGCCTGTATTATACCACTGAGTTGTACACAAAAAAGAGCCGAGTAGATTGATGGTGTGTGCAAGAGTACCGGGTAGGTATGGGGTCGCATGGTAGGCATGACATGGAATTTTAAGCTCTTGGTGTATGTGATCTTTTCATTTCTCCGTAAAACGTGCCCTTAACGCCTGCAAAACATATTTGCGCCTCATATTGGGAATCTACGACTTTTTCTCTAATTTGGCGAGCTCGAGAAATGCTAATCCAAGAAAATTTTTCGTGGCTATCACTGACCGAATACATGTAAATGCTCTTCTGTCTCGAACATTTAAGGTGGTGATACGAAATTTTCGGTAACCTCAGAGCTTTCCATAGAGGGCGCTCGAATGAACCATATGGCAAAAGCCCTCTTTGGAACAAGTGGCATCCTCACCATCGAGGAAGGCAATCTCCACTTTTGAGGCAGGAAACGCGCTAGTCCAAGTGAACTGATATTTTCGCAATAAGACTGATGGAAACAATAATCAATTGTTAATTGGTTTACACATGCGATAATACAATGATTGTCGGAAAACCCTTTCTTGGGATGAACATATTGGAACACGATACCTTGGCTTGGCCTGGAATACTGGCCACCTAACGTAGTTTGAAGTTCTCTCAGAAGCCTTTTATGTTGATTTTCATCGGCATTCAGTGAAAATTGCTTTCGTACAGTTTGTTGTTAGTTTGTTTTACCGATTTCAGAACAGTTCCTTCTCTCAATTCCTCTACTGATCTTCAAGGGCCAAGATCGATCAGCTTGTTTTGCACCTACAACAACATTACATCGTACATAGTTTGTCGAAACAAGACTAATTTGGAAGCACAGTCTCTCTCCCTTTTCTTCACTTCCATGGTTGACATTCGTTCGTATTGAAAAAAAAAACTGTTCCGTTTAGACGAGGGAGTACGGCTCTAGTCAGCACTCGCACGACATAAGTCTATGGACTCCTCTATTTGCCCCATAAAAATGATGCTCATGGGCGAAAGCACCTAATTGGAGGCCATTTCCCTATTTCTTCTACATCTCCAAGAAATGTACGCTCATGTGTGACGATCCCTCGTCTTTTTTGTCTGTCACCATAAGCGTTGCCAGTTCGGCATTGTACCGCGTAGTATAAAGAGTGTCGTCTAGGCTTACATCTCTAGACCAGTATTCTTCCAGCCACTTCGGTTGTAGAGCCGTAACAATTACTAAAACTTTCCTTTTGCCCTCTCGGACGGGTCGTCCAAAATAAATAGATCTCACCTATGATGAAGAGTTTACCGCTCCTGGGGTCAGCAGGAGCTTCAAAAAGTCGTATGCCGTAATCCGCATTGTTTTCCTGCACGCGCATGTTGATAGAGGTCACATCGACAGGGTCCCGACAAAACAGTCTGCTTTCATACTTCAGAACCAAAGCCTAGAAAGCGATTTTGGAGACGAAAAAGAACCTAGGACCCTCCCGACAATTTTTTAGCGAACGCTTCTTAAAAAGTAATCCACGATGTGATCTTAAAATGTTGAGGACGTTAAGACTGACATTCGAAGCAACTGAACTGTGACTGTGATGAACTGTTTATACCTTCAAGTAGCTTCTCAGATGATGCTGTTGTTCTTTGGTTAAACGCAGCAAAGCTTGATCCAAATCGCGCCCGACCTGGCCGAAACATCCCTAAATTGATACTGTGCCTTTGCTGCGGCAATGTACGCTCAGAAGCAGTACTCGTTCCAAGTTGTTCTCACTCTCCTTTGAGCATCCGTAGGGTTTAATTTCGTGTGCGGTTGCACCTAATTCATAGTACGAAGAACCTTGGCAAGGAGAAGTTGGAAATGAGAAAAATAAAAAAATACAGAACAGTGAAATATCAAAAAACAGAAGCTAGAGCATCACCGCAGCTCTACCCCTATCCCTAATTTTGATTGACCTATTGTCCTTGTCCAAAAGCTGGCACAGTGAGTTTTGCATTTCTTTTAAAGCCAAACCTGAACAACCAGGAATTGGCTTAAGGCCTTTATGATAAAAAGATGCTATTAACCCTCAGCTTTTCAAATTTGCATGTCATTTGGAGCTGCCGCCTGAATCTAACACTCAGAAAAATAAAAGGTCAAACTTTGTGCGTCAGTTGCTTATTTTTGCACACCAATAATTCATTTTTCTATGATATTCGAAGTTACCGTCCTAGATTTAAAGTCCGTTTCCAAAGTTTGACGGATATTTCTTTTTCTGGTATTTGCCTCCGCTACTTATCTTACATTAGGTTGTAAGCTTTACAAATCAGCAATCCAGAATAATAATTTCACCTATTGGCGATGACGAAGCATTTCAAGACAAATACGTAAATCACAATAAATAAAAAATTAGTGCAACAAGGTAGCTGCTATCATACACTTCTATAGAATAAATATGAACTGATCCGTCAAAAATAGTTATCTGCGAATCACTGGATCGACTGCATTTGTTAGAATTTAGAAGTTACCTCGTGGTCATGTTNAATAAAAAATTAGTGCAACAAGGTAGCTGCTATCATACACTTCTATAGAATAAATATGAACTGATCCGTCGAAAATAGTTATCTGCGAATCACTGGACCGATTACATTTGTTAGAATTTAGAAGTTACCTCGTAGTCATGTTCGTTTGAAAATTCCACTAAAAATATTGAATAGTCCTGAGCTCGACCGTCCGTACCATCTCCCGCGTTTCTTTCCGAGCAATGGTCCACAAAGGACTCTTGGTCCCATACCATCTCACCGCGGGAAATCGAAACAGAATGTCACATTTCAGTCCTAATTTATTGATACTGCTCCACGGAATATCTGTGCGCCAATTTCAGATGGCGGTAGAAGCACCTCTTGTGGACACTATGGCCGCAGACGGGGCAGTTGCGCGTATCCGGATGCATTGTAATACAGCTTTTGTTCGAAGCTTCAGCAGAGTAGAGGCACGACTCATATAATTGCGAAATGTACAGTACTACCTCGCACGCACACTTTTCTGTGCGAGACCACGTGAATCCATGGCGGACTGAAAATAGGACAAATATTAGACTAACCTTTTTCCGACCTTCGCAGAATTAGTTCCATTTGTGTCTTCATTATTTAATCTCCCAGTATCATAATTTGTTTTCATAAATCACTTTATCAGAGCTGTCATTCTAGAAAAGACATCAATAAAGGCGATTAATGACAATGATTAATGTACATACAAACATGAAAATTGTGTATGGAAAGAAAAGAAAAAACACAGTAAATAAAGGAAAGATCCAAAAGATGACGATCACAGCTATTGAGCCAATCGATTATCGACTGAATCTCAGGCCGGATTCACACCGGCAGGGTAGTTCGGCGGAAAGTTGGGCGGCGGTGCAGCCGTGGCTTGGTTTCCAGTGGTAGTGGCCGCCGATGGCGTGCGTGCACGGTACCACTGGTACGTGTTGAATAGCCAAACCAATGCAAGAAAAGCCGACTCCAGCTGCAATTTGGTTCAATTGAGATTGACAGATTGACCGCTTTTGGATTCTCAAGGCGACAGTCTTAGAAACTTCGATATTTTACCGAATAAATCACAATTATTTTTGGATTAGGTTGGAAAAGATTTCAACCGATGCCAATTAGGTTTCACCGTACCATGCCGAAGAGTAGAAAAGCGTTGAAATGTTTGAACATATTGACAAGGAAATAGAAAAAGTCGATCACTTGAAATATAACGAATACTCCACTGTAAGTCATTTCCTGTAAAATTAACAATATAGAACTTGGTAATTCATTGAAATGGAAGACAGATCTCACCGCCATGGGCCACATAGGTGCATCCACTAAGCCTGTGATATTTAATGCTATAGCGGCGAAGGCCAGTGCACATATGACCAACTGGAAACAACAATGTGGTTAGACTGGATCAATTAATCAATACTGTTTTTCTTGCTATAGTTGAAGTGCTTGACTAGACTGCTGTTTCACGTGCACCACTGCTAGCGGGCATTTTGTTGAATGGTCTTCACGCGGAGTTCTCAATGTAGTAACGTTTGCTCAACGAGAGGAAGTCTCCTCTTTAAATCTTTCCGACTTCATAACCAACTCTAACTGCTAGCAAAATACAAGTCTAGGCGCTAATATTTGTCTTCAGACCTCCACAAGAGCAACCGAGTGGAATCCCGGGAATTTTTCGCACTAAAGTTTGCTAGGTACATCTCATCACTCCAACGTAAACTAAACTAAATAGTTCTGCTATGAAAAAACAGTGTCTTCAAACATAACCTTTGTTTCGGTTGTGTATCTCTTACCATTTTGAGCCCTTTATCAACCTCCCCACATTCTTAAACATGGTACGCTCTCAAGCTTTGAATTCGTCTATGGCGAGCATCTCTCGCCGTAGATGAATCCTTTCAGAGCTGGAGAGCGCATCACGTTCAAGAATTTGGTTAGATTGAAGAAATTCCGCTAACCTCTACCGGTTCTCAAATTCTTTCACAACTATTAATGGACTTTTCTCACATATTCTACTCATCTTTGTGAATTCCCGCCTAAGGTGAACGAGTTCTTCATCCATACCTTCTCTGTCTCTACTCTTTTATTATCTTCAGATTATTTTGAAATGGGTCGTGGNATTCGTCTATGGCGAGCATCTCTCGCCGTAGATGAATCTTTTCAGAGCTGGAGAGCGCATCACGTTCAAGAATTTGGTTAGATTGAAAAAATTCCGCTAACCTCTTCCAGTTCTCAAATTCTTTGACAACTATTAATGAACTTTTCTCACATATTCTACTCATTTTTGTGTACTCCCGCCTAAGATGAACGAGCTCTTCATCCATACCTTCCCTGTCTCTACTTACTCTCTTATTATCTTCAGATTATTTTGAAATGGGTCGTGGGCCTCCAATACAGATCCAGCTCACTTAGTTGCCACTCCCTCTAAGCACCTACTTCTACTTAATTGCCCCAGTCATGGTGAAAAAGACTTCCCTTCATGTAGCAAATGGAAACATCCCCATTCTACCCACAAGTCTAGTCATTTTTAACCATCATTTTTCCTGTCCCCAGTAATAATCTGGAATTATGCCATGAATTTTCGATTAGAGGTGTTTTATTGCACGCGTGGCCCTTGCTAAGAGGAGCTGCATCGTTTCAGCGAGCTTTCTACATCTTGACCTATAACCAGTTAGGCTTAACCTCTGTGATGCATCCTGATGCTTGAAATATGAAAATAGTCATCTACATGATGTATTACCTCTATGATTGTGCTCATGATGACGAACCAACCAAACGACCGATAACCGGGAGCAAATACGAAAATGGTTTGGAGTATAACGAGTATCTAGAAGTAGAAGAAGTAGGTGGAAACAGTATTAAGGTAAAATGTAGAGTAGGCAAATTTGGTATCCACCAGAATAAAATTTGTACAGTGCCTTTCAAATTATCTCGTCGGCCTCGGCTGGATAACTGGGTCTCACAAGAGTAAAAATTTTGACGGGGTCACCTGTTCAATTTACGCACCACTGAAAAAATGGAAAAATTTTGCTAGACCACTGCAGAAATCCAGGTGTTTCCCTTTGAGTTTTCGGGTCTGAACCCTCCAGCTCCCATATAACAATCAACACTTTCTTGCATCACCCAAATTATCATTTGGCAATATGTGGAATCTCACCAGAGTGACTGGCTTCACCAAGTGTGGTAACTCCTTCATGTCATACATAGCCATATTTAGTCTGAAAAATGAAAAGTCAGCAAGAGAAAAATCAGCTCCAGCTAAATAGAGCTGAACGTAATTATAAGCCGTTATAGATCGGGAATCGCGAAAGAATACTTTTCAGAAAACCAGCTGTTGTCCGGTGCGTAGAAAGCGGAGCAAATCTATTTGGCTCATTAGGTAGCGGACCATTTATTCTAATAACTCATCGAAATCAAACAAAATCTTTGCAGGAATAAGGCAGTTTTTAAATGAGTTTACTTAAAGCGTATCTTGTTTATATACAGTGCGCACCAAAATATGTTCGTGGGCATCTCAGAGTTGTCACCATGAGAGGTACTTTCAGATCTTGCACCATCGCACATTCATCATTCCAGTACTGCATTAGGAAACCCATTCACAATAATCCAGCCACCCAACAGCTAATACACTGCTGATATTTTGTTTCGAAGAAAAAATTGGGATGTAAACTTTGATGTGAGCATTTCATATCGTATTCTCTGAACAAGTTGATAACAACTGCCCACTTGCTTTCCGATTTCCAGGCTAGCAATATTACCGTCTTCCGCTCAGCCAGGCTATAACAGTGCCGGTTGCTGATGTAACCATTGCACACCGTTTAGTGACAGTAGAAGTCAAAGCTGAAAAGCTTTTTGATGCTACTGACCATCTAGACGGCATAAAAGGCGAGCTCCAAAGTGGCTTCACCACTTCGCAGGCCATTAACAGATCTCCTCCAAAGTTCCTCTTCGGGAACACCGACCACACAATGTTTTTACTTAATCAGCCGTTAAGCAAACCTGTATATCCTCTCCAAGACGTGGCTATGTATTCACGAAATAAAAATTGCTGGTAAGGGCTCAAGGAAATTCCTCAACAACCTCAGTTTGTGTTTCCTCCCCTAGATGTAGCTATAAATTCACGCGCGAATTCCGAATCTGTTAATCTATTGTGAGGTCTTTCAGGCGACTCGGGTGAAGATTTCGAGACAACTCGAGATCTTACACATGTGAGCGAACGGCCAAACTCATAAGCAATTCCTGAAACAAAGTTCAGCAAGATGTGCAGCTCTTATCTGGGCATGTTTTTCTTCAGTAATGAATTTACTTTGAAGAGACACAATGACAGACTAATTAGAAAGAAACCCAACAGAAATCGTTGACACCAAAGTTTAAGTTGGCCTCGTTGTCCACATGGTTTAGGACAGAAAAAAAATTCATCGAAAACGTAGGATCTTTTGCGGAAAATTATCACTGATCATGCACAAGGTTTTGGGCAGTAGCCTATAGGCAATCAACTCATACAGTTTTAAATACTAACAAGGCAAAAAGATCCTTCAGCAAGTCCTTGCAAATGGGCTTTGGAGTGTTCCATGCTTTTGATGATTACTGCAACAAGCTACAAGTCATTGCTCTATTTCTTTGATAGTCATATCTGGCATAGAATGCTTTCCGATTCTGATTTGTATCGGTTTAGAAAAGGTTTTTTGATCTTTTCCAATATTACAGAGAGACGGCTATCAGCTTCTTGACGGCTTTGCCTTGTTAAGTGCAAAGTAGATGGTATCAAGTAGTTGGAGCTTATCTAAATTTCTAGCTCCACAATAAGTCAGTCTGCAAATTTCTATGACTCTTGTGGGCTTCTGAATGGAAGTCTTTGTAAAAGTCTACATCTCCCGCTCTTTACAGAGCATCCAGGTTTGTAGGCTTGCAAGTATTCGTCCCCATGACTGCGCAACATAGACTACTCTCTCGCATTAGTTTATGTTTTTCAGTTTGGTTCTGCTGTTAACTGTTCCGTATGTACCTTGAGCGATCTCTAGGATGATTGTGTTGATCGGATGAATCCATCTTAACTAACACCAAAACCAAAAACAAAATTCAAAGAGTTGTTAAACAGCGCTTTCGCTACTGATAAAGCAAAATTGCAGACACCACTTGAAGTCGAGTACAGTAGAACAACGATTGGAAGGAAGCAAGATAGAAGAGCAGGAAGACGAAAATGTGGTGACAACAGTCTTTAGGAATGTCATTTCGAGAAAACTTCGATCCAGCTGATAAGGCTTGCGAGCAAAGAATTGAAGTTCAACGATTCTACTGCTGTACACCTCCGGTCATGAATCAAATAATCATCCGCAGCAGTACAAGATCACTCCATTCCCCAGAAAGTCGAAAATGGAAAAAAACAAGAATTTCGCACTCTACTAACACATTTGACTTTACATTATCATTCATATTATATTTTCTTCGCCTCTCCTTTCTCAATAGGATATACAGTCCGATAGGTGGGTGTGCTCGAGTGATCCTTTAGCTTTTCAGACAGAAAGGAGAAGCTGACCATTTGGACCCCATCTGATTCATTTCTTAGACAGGTGCAACGGTGAGGACAAAAAACGGTTTTTGTAATTGTAAAGCGACTCAGTTTCGAAAGAGGAGATACCCACAAAGGCAATCGCTAACGTCTATACAAATCCGGAAAAATCTTGATCTTTTTTGAAGGAATTAAACCACTCAGCATCTACTGAAAGTAAGTAGCCAAAACTTCAATCACAACATCAGAATCTCATCTGTGCAAAAACAAGCAAGAGCATTCAGTATGTGCAGCGGTGTGGTCCCTTTTAACTATGATCGACTCTTCGCATAAGTTCTTCCCTACTGCGACAATGATACAAAGCTGCGAACGAATTTTCGATCAAGCTCGCCTCGCATCTAGGCGGGAAGTGACCTTAATTAAATGCGAAGACTAAGCTATAATTATGCTGCCCGCACTCGCTACTTATCGAGTTGAAACTTCTCAGCTAACTGGTAAGGAGGATAATGACAGTTTGAAAAAATTGAAGTTTCTCTCTAAACGATGAGTTTTTTGAGAGGAAAAATATGTACCAATATCAATTTCAACGGTTTTGAGAGTTTTATTTACACGTATAGTAAATAAGTTCAATATATTTCATTTCAAGCCTGTGGAAAATGGGAAAAGTACTTCAGTTCACTTCTTTTCTCGGTATTTTCGTCTGTTTGCGACATCAAACAACCTTTACAGAAGTGGTGTGGTTCTCTAGAGTTGTTTAGTATTGCGACTACTCTTCACTGGGAGGTCATTGAACGCCCTACGGCTCAACACGCTGGCCATTTCACAGTTTTTACTGCATTTAGCAAGTCTTCAGGCTAATTTCAATACCTAAATTGAGGAGAGGTCATCGAGAGCTATTTAACTAGTACGATGAGTGCTTTAACTACCACTGCTTACTTTATAAGACATTACCATGTTTTCTGGAGAGACGCTGTACTGTTTCGATGAAGTTCCAGGGTGTCCTCCCGCTACAAACTATTTAATAGTGCGCGGTCCATGTGGCCCACTTCCTCCACTGTCCGAGCTTTTCACTTTTGCTCCGGAAGCCCTAGCACTACAAAAATAATTTTTTCGGAAGTTCTGCGTCTACACAGCCTCCTCCAATGCAGCTGGATCCCTCATCACAACCTTCTTTCTACACGTTCCCTGCACCAACGCAGCCCCTTCCCCCAATAGAGCTAAACACACAGCCCCCACCGTGGAGTCTTCGCACCTAATTAAGGTTACTTCGCGCCTAAGTGTGAGGCGAGCTTGATTAGGCGAGATCGAAAATTCGTTCCCGTACCCCAAAGCCGCCTGCCTATCCAGTCTGCCACTGACAAGATCACCAGTTTGGATGGAAATGGTCGCAGAGCAAAAAACAAAAGCATTTGCCAGTTCCTTATACATCAAAACACAATTAGACACACTGGCCACAGCGTCAGAAGATGTTGTAGATCTTGGGTTCGAGTTTGGGAATGATTTCAAATTTTGTATGGAAGACATTCCGTAGGTGCTGCGTTCTGCAGCAGCTCAACCGTAATGTCATCGTTCGCTCTTCTCCTCGTTGGAGATCTCATTCAATTTTATTTC